ACAAAACTTCCCCTTAAGGATTCGGACTCACTTCAACGCTTGATGATCCAAACCATGTGTGTGGATCCCGGACCATTTATTTTGTTCAGAAAGCTCCACAACATAGCAGTACACTGACATTTTGCACGTTTTGAGTATACAAAAGCTGGATCTTGCGTTGCAGCAGATATCTATGGTCACTGTCTTCCCCTGTCTTTTAATGGAAATGCTTTATTTTCAACCAATTTCCAACTGTGATAAGTACCCCTTGATTTGCATATTGATTTGTTGCCTTTTGCACAATCTCTTGCCTTGCAGTTAGCTGTACAATTACACTAATCAGAGACCTTGATGTCAAATGATTTGACTCCTCGCTGTGTCAGTTTCCCAGGGAAAGGAGTGCGTGTCATCAGCGCCTTCCAGCTATGTTTAAAACATCGAGGTTTTTCGAATTACTGCTAATGCTTGCTTGGTCTCTCTCGGTTGAGCTTGTGGGAGATTAGTGCAAAGCAGTTTAAAAGTAATGTGAGGGAATAGCGGTTTTATTTTACCCTGAATTATACAGGATTTTGTTACGATCTCTAAGTGTGATTTCACTTAAAGATTTACACCAAAGAAAAATCCACACGGATCAAACATTCCTGCCTTCTGCAAACCAAAGTTTTGCTTAAATGCTTTGACAATAGTTAAATGCTGCTTTTTTAAATGTTTTGTTCATTTTTTGTGTATTTGTTTTTGTATGCTGTACCTGTACATTCTGTAAAGCATGTATAAAGAACATTATGTTTCAGAAAATTCTGACATTTAGCTGACATTTAAACAATAAAATGAATAAAATGCATCACGAGTGAAGATGTACACATTATTCAAATAATCTGTTATTAGCGGAACAAGCTAAGGGAAGGAGCACTATTGCAGTTGCTCATATTTAGGGTCTAACTCTAGGTTCTAACCCTTTAAAAACCTACTGTATCATATTTGATATGCAAATTTCTAAAGTCATCTGCATCAGCAATCAGCAAACCCACTACAAAACTACTAAAAAAAAAAAACCCAACTGCTACAAATATGATACAACGGGCTTTGAGAATCATTTCAATCACATCTCAATCATAGTTATGTTGCATTGCATTATGTTTTGCCTCCACAATTAAACCCACAGAGCTTTGATAATAAAACGAAGCATTTAAAGATCATCTTGCTAAGAAATATAATTGAGAGTTATAAAGTGACAGTTGATATTTATATGCATTTAATATATATTTATAAAGATATCCTTGATTTACATTACAAGCTATCAGAATTTCATCTTACTTTTTGGCTATATAAATAACAAGATTGCACCAAGTTATGAATTTTTGCTCCGTTCTTGAGAGTGACATCCGTATTCTGTATTTGCTATTCTATATCATACTACAGTATATCAGCCATAAAATACTGATGTATCAAATATGATACTGACATGCAGACTTTTTCATAGATTAAAAAAAAAATAGATTTCTAAAGGTTCAATAAACTGTTCCATTTAATAAATTAGGGTTTTCTGGACTATTATTTTATATACAGAGTTAATATCAAATATGAAGAGGTTGATTCTGCAGGTTGATCTGCTATTGTTTTCTGTTTCATGAAAGAACAATTCTGACATGAGGGTGAGTAAATTCTAACGTTTTTCATTTTGAGTGAGCTATTCTTCAGCGTTATTGCTTTGTGGGGGAAAGTGTTGTTATTGTAAGTGCACTGTATTAGCGTTATGCCACAGCTCACTTACAGTGTTACTGAATTATGCTAATATAGTAAACTGCAGAACTTTTCTGGAAGTTTTCGCTGAGTTTAAAAGGACGCAGACCCATTTGAATCCCTCTAAATACTTGAACTGACAATTTTCATTGCCGTCCTCCAAGAGATGTTCTGAGAGAGAAATTATAGTTGTGAGATCAAAGTACATACCTCTGCCTGCTGCTAACCCTCTTTACTCAGCTTTATCAATAATTCATTCAAGACTCGCTTTGGATTATTACACTAGTGGAACAGGGACGTGACGCGCCCTCTGCACGCGCCGTCCTGCAACGCTCAAGAAAAATCTCTGGCTATTGCCTTCGTTTAGACCATAAATGAGACTAGAATAAGTTTGGAACAACCAGTAGATATCTAATAAGCTAGTTTATTTGTGTTCAGAGCCCTGCACTTTCCAGATTTAATATAAGAGGAAACAGGCCTTACTGTCGTTTAAGTGGTTTTGTATTTTGTTTTTTAAACACCTTGTTTAAAAATTCCTTAAAATAATATTTGAGCATCTTATTATTCATTTCATGTGATTTGTGTTAAAAATGCCCAAAATGAAGGTGAATTTTAAGTAAAAAACTACTGAAAATTGAGAAGAAGATTTGATATTTTTGCTCTATTCAACGTCTCAGGTGTCTGAAGTCATGGAACAAACATTCCTGATGATTCACACTAAACATCTTACTGCTCAGACATTGCATTTTTATATCAAGTATCAGCAGGTCTTTGCTGAGTACACGGGTTTAGCTATACAGTTGTTTTCATGCCACTTACAGAAAACAAAAATACTTATTTTTAACATTTTTATAGGGATTCTAAGAGTTTTGTTCTATAATACTGCCCAGAATAAACTGCACATATATTTAAAATGGATAGTCCACCCAAAAAAAAAAAATGACATCTCACCATCAAGGTGTTCAAAACCTGTATGAGTAAGTTTTTTTTAACAATATATTTTATGCTTTGAAGATATGCTTTTTTGTTTTTCAACCTTTTTTTGAAGTTTGAAAGCTCCAGTCTCCATTTATCATAATTGCATGGAGAAGTGCATCTGGCACAGTGTTCATAATTTCTCCTTTAGTATTTCACAGAAGAAAGTCACATGGATTTAAAACAACATGATGATGAGTACATGAAAGAATTTACATTTTTGGGTGAACTGTCCTTTTAAGACCCAAATATGTGTAAACTTTAGAGCAGGTATTATGTTGTCTTGTGGAATACACAGTATCTTTTCCACCAAATAGAAAAAAATAGAAACATCTTGAAGGTTCTGCGACAGCTATATGTTATTTGAGCATTGCTAGAGATATGTGGGCTGGTCTGTAAATAACTTGGTGGTAACTAACACTGAAATTAGTTTCATGTCTGGTCTTGTTCTTCAGTATAATTAACCATGTCTACACACTTCCTGCTGCTTTTCCTGTGTCTGATCTTTATACTCAGGGGAAATACATGTGTTCTGCCTTTTGAAGTGCACAGCAGTGATTAGGAATTAAATTGAATCCTTTACAAACTGAAGAAGGCACTGTTTTGATTTGTCTTGACTTGTCTGTAGTTAATAAGGGAGCTGAGCGCATGAATAGTGTGTCATGTTTGTCTTAAGCAATGGCAGATTGAATGATGAGACTCAAGTTATGCTGCAGTTACAACTACTCACCAAAAGGTAGCAGCTTTGAGTCCTACACTACACTACAGGACTGTGCTATTAAGATAATTGGCTGTATAATTTGATTACAAGATGAAATATTCACTGATTACTTGTGATATCCTCACCTAGACTTAAGCTACTGATTAAATTACATTATCAGATTAATAAGACAGAAAGAATAAAAGGGCAAGCACTGACGTTACATGTATTATTTGATCATATTTGGTAATGGGAGCTTATTCTGAAATGTTTTTAATGCTTTACATTTTACATTTGGTAGACGATTTTATCCAAAATGGCCAATTTCCCCGGGAATCGAACCCATGACCTTGGCGTTGCAAGCACTATGCTTTTTTTAAAGTAAGTATGTTTTGTCTTATGTACTGCTTTAAAAATAAAAAAAGAAGGTAACACGTTACTTGAAGGGGTGTGCATAAGACTGACATGACACCTTCATAATCATGACATGACACATGGAGGTTTTTATGCATGTTTGTGACAACTGTCATTAAGTGTCATTCGCTCAGTTATGTCATTTTTAATGCAAATATGATATTATTTGACCTAACCCTAACCTAACCCTACCCCTACCCTTACCCCTAACCATAGCCCATAACAAAGACATCTCAAACAATGTCATCTTTGCATAAAAAATTACATAACTGAGCAAATGACACTTAATGACAGTTGTCATAAACATGCATAAAAAAATCTTCATATTCATGACATGTGTCATGTCATGATTATGTAGGTGTCATGTCATGATTATGAAGGTGTCATGTCAGTCTTATGCACACCCCTTCAAGTAAAGTGTAACCAAAAAAAAAGATGTATTTATTTATTTATTCTTAAGTGTTTTCTTTCATGAATGGAATCAGACTTGTATAGGTTTGTTGTCAGCATGTTTTTGAAAGTCAAAGCACGGGTTTTTTCCCTCACTTGTGAGCAGGAAATACATAGGCATCCAAGATCGTGTGTTGCTTGGTGACATGCAAAGATTGATGCTTTGACTTTGAATTATTTGCATTGGTGAAAAGGAAATACTAGCTCATTTTTGTCTGAAATGTAAGTTACTTGATTACTTGTTTAAATACCTATTACATAAAAGCAATTCTTGCACATTACTGAAGTGTATTTACATTAAGCTATTAATTGCGTTTAACATTTTGGTACATTCAAAGCTGAGGTTTAGTATTGAATTACAGTGATTTTTTCCACAGGTAAGAGGCATTTTAAGCCACAACATAAAGCAGAAAACCCCATCATTTTGGGTCAAATCACTGTATAACACACAGCCTCTCCTGGCTTATTGTTTTTATAAAACTGATGCAATGGAAATATGAGAAAAGCCAATGTAATTCAATAAATAGTTGCATTTTTTATTAGTAATAATCACAAGTTACATAGTCCATTAGCCAAACTGTTGCTTAGGGCTGCCAAGCAGGGTTTACAGGTGTGCGTTTATTGGCTCATTTTACAGCGAATTAGAACGCCACTCATCCAATCAGAATTTAGAGTCAAAACTGTCGGTTTTATAATTGGTTCATTTGTATCTTCATTTACTAAATCAGTTAAGTTTAGTTTATATAAACTTCCACCTGAGAGCCATCCAGTCACAGGCCGCTTTTCGTTACATACACAACCGCTTCATTTGACAAACACAAGCTGAGAGCAACAGTAGCCTCCCTCCGTGACTGGAGATCTGAGAGAGCAGCAGCCGCGTATGACAGCATCGCAGCGTCCGAGGCGATACACACATGTTCGACCGGTTTATTTCTCTCGTACGCTATCTGTCAAGGGCTCATATTGTGTGTAAAGCTGACGGTTCAGCCACAAGCCAGGAATGAGGACGCGTCAGACGCATCTACTCACTGACTGGGCATCGCGTTTCGAAGACGAACCTGAGCTTCGGCCGTTTGGACAACAACAGAATATAGCCGAGACAGCCGCTGCCGTAGCTCTTTATACCTGTGGGACACTGTTTTGCTGCGAATTCCGTTTATAGACACACATTTTATTACGCTGTCCTGACAGACGCGTTTCTCAGTGTGTCAGTCTAGTGCGCTTGATGCTTTGCATGCAAACCCCGAGTGAACTTACCAGGTAAACAGTTTTACCTCGTTCTTGTATCGAATGTTGTTTACTTTTGCATTATGTAGCTCCTGGCGCATTTGGAACAGGCGTTTTTACGAGCGAAAACTACGGTAATCTAAATGTTGTGTTGAACTAATAATGGTAGATGAGGCTTATGGCGATATCATCACAGGCTGGTTGGCGTTCCACATCCGCGCGCTGTTGTCCCCAAACCGGGTGAAGTGAACGGCACACCGGGAAGGAAGGCTTCAAAACCTGCTCACGTCAAACTGCACTGAAACTTAAAGGCTAAACGATGTCTAAAACGCTGAAGAGGAAGAAACACTGGTCCACTAAAGTGCAGGAGTGCGCCGTGTCGTGGGGAAGCGTTGGGGAGTTCGGTGATGTTGTGGAGATCCTCGGAGGCGCCGAGCACGGGGAGTTCCCGTTCCTCGGTCAGATGAACTTAGACGTGCTGGAGTGTCACGTCGGGAGGCTACCGTACTACGGGGATGTGTTATTGGAAGTGAACGGGACACCTGTGAGCGGGCTGACGAACCGAGACACACACGCGGTGATCCGCCACTTTCGGGAGCCGATTCGAATTAAGACCGTCAAACCAGGTAAACTGAGAGAACTTTGTTTTTGTTGGCGTTAAAAGTGAACGTTGCCAAACAGTACTGTTGCCAGGAGAGTTGCCTGTCTGGCTCACAGCGCACCTGTATCTTCGAGGCTTGCATTTAAAGGGACAGTTCATGCCAAAATGGTCTTCATATGTAGCTTAGACACATCATTATTTACAGTCATATGATGTTATTGCTTTCGTGAAACAGGAAAGTGTATCACTTGGGTTGTTTAGCGTTTTATCTTTATGTATGCAGAATGTTCACGTTGCTCCTTTCCATACAACGAAAGTGGATGGGGACTGGGGCTTAGCGCTGCAGCCATGACATCCAAACCCAGGAGACTAATTCGCCATGGGTTCCCTCGAGGTTTTCCTGTGGGTTTTTATAATGAGGTTTTCAACTCAAATTCTTTTCAGTGTGTGTGTGTAATTTACATTGTTCTGCAAAAAGTCCAATAGTCAGTTCATATTTACCACAGACCTTGTTTCATAAATTGAAAAACCCCATTATAAAAGACTAATAGGAAAATCTTGAGGGCACCCATGGCAAATTAGTCTTCTAATTACAATAAGGTTCCATTTGTTGAAATTAGTTAAATACATTAGTTACAGTACAACAATGGAAAAATACTTCCAAACTATTTATTAACCTTAACTGCAATATTTACTATTAATATTAAAATAAAAAGTTAATATGATTTAATTAGACTGGTGCTAATGTGAACATGCAATGAATGAACCAGCATTAATTTGTAAACATTAAGTAACAAATTAAATTAATGAATAATAATTAACAAATGCATCACCCATAGTTAATGTTAGTTAATACATTACCATTAGTTGGACCCTTTTGCTCACTCTTAAAAATAAAGGTTCCAAAAGGGGTTTTCATAGTGATGCCATAGAAGAACCATTTGGGGTTCCTCAAAGAACATTTAATTGAACAGTTCTTAAAATAACTTTTTTTTTCTTAGTGTGAAGAACATCTAAAAATCTAAAGACCCCTTTTCCTCTAGGCCTATATAAAAAAATATTTTGTGCAGTGGAAAGGTTTCATGGAGCCAGATGCCAATAAAGACCCTTTATTTTTAAGATTTTAAGATTTTACGAAAAATTGTCTTCATTTACTCATCCTCCATTAATTCAAAGCTGTATGACTTTCTTCTACTGTGCAAACTGAATAAAGGTAATTGCCTAGATGTTATTTATTTTTCTGTCCACACAATGAATGTCAAAGGGCTTCGGTATTGTTTGGATACCAGTGTTCTTCGAAATCTTTTTTTTTTTTTTTCCCACAGAAGAATGTAAGTCATACAGGTTTGGAATGGCATGATGGTGTGTTAATGCTGACATAATTTCCATTTCAGAATTCTTCCATTTCATTTTTGGAGCTCAACAGCCCCAGCATGAACCGTGTGAACATTCAGTGAAACATCTCTTTTTGTGCTGCACAGAAGAAAAAATACTCCCGGTTTGGCACCTCAAGTTTGAACTATCCCTTTAAGACTGACTGTGTAATTTCTACTTCATAGAACGCTGAGAGCATGGACAAGTACTTTGGCGAACAGCATTCAGAAGATTCTTTGTTCTCTCCCTCATAGTGGTTGCACCACATGCCCTGACTCTGACTTGTGCTGTGCTTAAAGTGCCTTTATGTCAGAGGCACAGCGTTTGCCTTAGGGTTGGTGGGTAGTAAACACTCCACACACATCTTATAAAAGCACAAGCATCATTTCTAAGGACACTCGCTGTTGGAGTGTGTATTGATTATAGCAAGTGGGTCACCTTTACTTAGGACAGGCCTGTGCACCTTACTGGTGTATGAGGGCATGATGAAAATGGGGAGGAGGACGTTGTTACCATGGACACCGAATATCTTAGCATTATTGATGGGTCGAATGAGTGTATTCTTAGCAGGAGGAGGGGAAAGGCACAATATGTCAGAGTTGTTATGGAGATAGGAGGATGTTATTAGCACGTAGATGTGAGAGTTGTTGCCATGGAGAGAAGGAGAGGGTACAGAAGGATAACATTAACTGGATGGTTGATTGTTGAATAAATGGACAGTATCTGAGATTGTGTGAGCATGCACATCAGCGGCAGCTGAGGCCCTGACCTTTAGGACGCATAAGTGTGTGCGATCTTTTGTGGTTATGGTGAGTGTATATGAGGGTTTTATAGAGAGTGAGACTAATTTGTGGATATTTCTGACCAATTCATTGGCTCATAAGAGTTGTTCGACTGATTCAAATTGCTAACTCAAGTTCAAGAATTATTTGTGAGTTTCGGAAGGGATTCATATGTCTAAGCAATTCATTAGATCATAAGAGTCATTTGTTTGTGAATCAGAGTTGTGAGATTGTTTCAGAAGGATAAGTTTTAAACTGAATTGTGAGTATTTTGACCAATTTATTGACCCATTAGTGTAATTTGTATGTTAATCAAACTGTTCTGGTCAGTAAGCACATTGCTAAACTGATTCTCATCAGTAACGTGTGAGTTTTGACCAATTCATTAGCTCATAAGAGTTATTTGTTTGATGTTATTAAGATGAGTTAAAGAGGGTTGAAAGGTTGAGCCAGTAACTCATGCATTTGAGATGGATTGTGAGTATTTTTGATTTTTGATTCAAACTGATAAGTTCAAGAATTATTTGGGACTTTTGGGACTGATTCATATTTTTAGCCAGTTCATTAGATCATAAAGAATCATTTGTGAGTTTTTTTTTTTTTAAATTCATTAGCTTGTAAGTGTTATTTGTTTCACACTGTTAAGATCTGAAAGTTAAGCTATAAACTCACGCGTTTGAGATGGATTCGAAAGCATTTCCGACCAATTCATTATACGAGTGGGCGCTGTACCGGAATGAAAGTGACTACCGGTATTATGTTGTTCCATGATATGGATTTTGCTATACCGTGGATACCGTTATATATATTCATGAATTCAGATTTTGCATTTATATAGTTTTGTTCAATTTGGTACGCTTTGCAAATTTGAACACAAATGATGATAAAGAGTCGAGGCTGAACGTTTTTGTCCTCTGTGTGCAATGCCGTACTACACAGGCATTAGTAATTAAACGCATAGAGCATCGTAACAGACCAAATGAATATAGCACAAATCGCCTACTCCAGTAGTTCCCAAACTGAGGGATCGTGTACAGTCAGCAGATTATTTTGCAAAAGAAACCTCTGCAGGGTGATAAAGACTACATTGTGTAATTTTCACGCTTATCATGTGGCCACTTGCCTGATAAATAAGTAATTGAGCACAAAATATTAATTTGACATATTTTAATGACCACTCTCAGTACCCGCTTGAGCGCTCCGTTATCAGTTGTAGAAGTTGCAGTCTGAGAAGTTGTGGTTGTATCAATAACAGACGGCGCGATTGAAGAATGAGAGTTGTATTGCAGGGAGCCATGTAGAAATATAAATGAACGATGCATGATTCTGCTCTAAGCATGAAAGTTACAAGTTTGTAAAAGGACTTCCAGTGCCATGTAAACGTAAAGCAGATTATGAATACACTTAAGATTCACAAATACCAAAACAATGTGTCTACACCAGACGCGATGTGACAAAAGCAAATAGAACCCAGTGATGTTCTCTAGTGTGGATGCGGCGCATCGCGACACGACAAATCCATGACAGTAACCAGATGCCGCGTTCTATTTCTGACGAACACCAGCGCTCTGACACAAAGAACAATTTCAATTATTCATAAGAGAATCATGAAAAACGACTAGATGCGGCGCTGCTACGTTGTTCATTCAATATATTGAGGAAAACGAGAGCATCAGTGTGGAGAAGATGTTGTTTACGTCAAAACTGAAACCAAGCCATTCACACAGAACATATATTTATCACATTTTCTAGAGGGACATCTATCAGCGTTGCACTCGCGTCTCGCACAAGAGTGACATGTTTAGAAAGCCATGTAAAATTAATGCAAGTTCAACTTTTAAAAAAACATGTCTAAAGACGTTATGGCTGTTTTTCCCCATCCCACTGTATCTCATGTTTTTAAATGAAGAAAATCCCTCACTTTTTCTAGTTATATAAGGTTAAAATATTTTGCCGGTAATTTTTTTTCTCATATCGCAATATAATATCGATATCTCCTGGACAGTGTAAAATATTGTGATATAGGGCTGCACGATTATGACAAAAATCATAATTGTCGATTATTCCCTTGAAATTGTAATTGCGATTATTAATTACGATTATCACAATTTACATTGAATGATGTTTATACCATTGTTTGATGCAACTGCATGCCGTATTTTTATATGAAAATAAACAAGCTGAAAACACTCTAACTGAAAAACTTTGTGCTTTTCTAGTATTAAGCCTCAAACTATAAATTGGATTGGCTTCTTCTTTAACTTATAAAAAAAGTAAAAATATGAATGGTATTATAATGTTATACTAAAACTAAAATTAAAATAATGGGAAAAACCCTTAAGATAACATGTAGAAAGAAAAAGACGCATCTTAAGCACGCTGAATAACATAAGTGGACTTTGAACGATTAATTGCCGCTTTGAACGATTACGTAATTGTGGCATCCATAATTGTAATCGTGATTAGAAATTTGATTAGCCTAATTGTGCAGCCCTATCGTGATATGAATTTTAGCTCAGATCGTCCACCCCTAATTCATTATAACTCATAAGAGGCGTTTGTTACTGAATCACATAATTTCAATAAGTGAGTGATGTTAGACATTTAAGCTAATGATTCACAAGTTTGGACTAGTCATTTGCTCAAAAAAGTAAACTATTATAGTTAGCGAATGAGTTTGTTTATTTCAAACCAATGACAAAGACTAATTTGTGTGTTTCATTCAGTTTGTCAGCTCATAGGAGTAATATGTTTGTAAATAAGACTGTTGGTGAACAATACATTATAATTATTATGATTTTTTTTTTTTTTTTTTTGTGAGATCAGTGGTTCTCATCTTCCCACCCTGTTTAAATGGGTTTGTTTGTGTCCAAATCTGCTTTTGAGATAATGCTGTTGTTTAGTTTTGCTTTTGTCTAGCTCTTTTTTTCAGCTGCACAAAGAGAATCAGGTTTGAAATGAGGGACTTGTTCCATGAGGGACTTTGTTCACCAAAAAAAGTACTGTTCTGTATCCTCTGGTGTGGTTTTTGAGCACAGTAGTATGTAGGCTGCTGTGTATAGGTGCATGTGTGTCTCCCATGTCCAGGCCTCATATGGAATTCAAAGTGTGTGAATAATAGATGAAGTGAGTGAAATGCCTATACACACTGAGGATCAGCTGATAACAGGAAATGATGCTGCAGTCTTTGCCACAGGCACAAACACAGCAGAGCTCCGTCCACCAGCTGCTTCATCTGCACCGCATCTACCTTTGCTTTCCTGTAGTCTAGTGAGGGTGCCTATTTTTGTGTCATTGGAGAATTGCTATGGTTATTTGTGGTTGTAGTGGGATGTAGTATTTCTCAGTCCACATCTGAACAAAGTTGCAGTTTTTTTTCTTCCTTTTTTTTTGCAGCAGGTCGAGTAAATCAGTTGTGTGTGCAGTTACTTTAAAGGTGCTTTTTTAAAGATCATTATTTTGTGTATTTGGTGTAACTGAATATGTTGACATGCTTTAATGTTCAAAAAACACATTATTTTTCAAATACTGTACATTATTGTAGGTCCTCTATGCCCCGCCTCTCTCAAACGCTTTGTTTTCTACAAAGTCCCTCCTTCCGACAAGCGCAGTCTGCTCTGATTGGCCAGCTGACCCAGTGCATTGTGATTGGCCGAACACCGCAAGCACTCGTAGGAAATGTAACGCCCCTTACCATAATCGCGAGCTTCAGCTTTCAAAATAAATGTAAAGACAGAGCCCGAAAGGGGAACAGAGTCGCGTGACAGAGACAGTGATGAAGCTGGTATGTGTGCAGTACACAAGCCACGGTTAAGACAGCTGACTCCACTGTGATGTGACCCTGTCTCTCTCTCTCACACACACACACACAATCAGCTTGTAACTCTCCAAAGAGAAAGGAAAACTTGAAATCGCATCATATGACCCCTTTAATCAAAAAGTGATGTTAAAATGCATCTACTGTATGACTTCATTCCTCAAGCTTTCCCTAATGGTTAAAGCAAGATAGGCTTCATTGACTGCATATATTGATTACCACATACATTTTTTGAGAGAAAATTGCTTTTACAGTAAAGCACTTAATGGAAGTCTAGACATTCTGGAGGGGTTAAATGACAAGTCTTTATACTTATTTTGCAATACCGCAGTAAAATAAGTGTTATTTGCACTGCAATGATGTCAAAATTATCATTTTAGCTTTAGACAGATTAACTTCTTTTTGTATGGTACTGACACATTTCCTATGAGTGGATTTTTCTTTATGCAAACAGTCTATTTCTGGTGTTACTGCGAGTATCATAAAGCTATTTGGGTTTACCAGCTTCACATTTACGTCAATAGTTGAAATGTTGGATGTGACATTGCACAGAAACTGTAGATACTCTCCATAATATTTGATTAGAATTAACATTAACCTTAGATGCGGTGATTAACCTTACTTGGTCTACTTTACGTCACTTCAGAGGAAAATGATTGGCTTGAACAACTGAAAACGGTTGTTAATTTAATTCAAAACACAACGCATTTGAACTGTGTTCGAATCATGCTGTAATGATTGTGTTAATGAGTTAAGTGCACATCAATGCCACCATAAATTTGTAATTATCAGTGGGAAACTTGGTGGAAATAATTGATTAATCATAAGTTGTGATGCATTTTGTATGTATTTTGTGTACTGTAAAATGGCAATAAAGCTTGCCAGAAAATGCAACTTATTCAGCAGATTTATGAGAAGTCAGTTTGACTAAAATACATTTCCAATCATTCTTTGTGGCAGCATGAGGGTGATAAATGCACAGATAAAGCATCGATTGCAGATCTAATGCGCATCTTTTGCTCTTCATTAGAGAAATGTGTAATTGTCCAGCGAGTCCGAAATCACTTAAATAAACACATCATATCACATTTTCTGAAATAGGAACTTCCCAGGAGGACTTGAACGCAGCGTGTCGTCGGCAGTTCTCCAACCTCTCGCCTCTAATGTAGGTTTGCTGCACGCCATTGTTGTTGTTTTTC